CCCCCCAAGTCCAAACTGGGGGCTCCAGTGCTCCCCCCTTTCCAGCAGCAACTCAAGGCGCGAGACACAGCAGCACACCCCGCCCCGCGAGGCCCCTGCGAGCTGGCAGCGCGGCGCGAGCGGTGCCCCTGCCCCAGCCCCGTGTCCTTTCACCCCTGCTCGGCCACTCGAGAGGCAAAAGCAGGCCCCTGCCCCCCCCCACAGGTGCCTCTGCCGCGCCAGTGGGAAGCCGGCAGCGCGCGGGTGGAGCTGGGCAGCGCTGCTGGCACGCGGCGGGGCAGCCCGGTGCCTCCCCTATAGGAAGCCCTCCTTCCGGAACTGCTCCTGCAGGATGTCCCTGTACTCGTCGAAGCCGCCCTCAATGCGTGTCACCGTCGCCTTCTCGCACACCCACAGCTCTTGGCACAGCAGGCGGATGAAGCGCTCGTCGTGGGACACCAGGATCACGCCGCCCTAGGATAGAGAAAGGGCTTGAGCCGGGAGCCCCAGGCGCGGCCCACCTTGACACGGTATTTATGTCACGGCAGAGCGGCGGGGACACGGCCTTTCTGCATCTCCCGGCCTACGACCCGGCAGGGCCGCTGTTAGTAAAAGCGGTGGCAGAGCAGAGTGCTTGGCCCTTCAGCTTGGAGCCGGCAGATCACAGCATGCCCCGCTCGGTGGGCTGCGCCGAAAGCAAGGCCGCTCCGCGTGCTGGAGCTTCCAGTCTGCATCAGCTGAAGGATGGGTGCGGCGCTCAGTCCAGCTTTGTGTGGAACAAGACCAAAAGTGGCCACCCCCGACGCGTTCAGCATGGCCCAGAACGCTCCCCTTCGCCCTCAGGTGCAAGGGGCAGAAGCAGACAGAGATAATCAAGGGAGACAGCAATGAACCATCAGGGTTCCCTCCCCTCTTCCCCCAGAAGCTTTAGGCGATGCCCGCAGCCAAGGCTGGGGCTTGGGACTGGGTTGGGACCAGCACCGGATGTTCCTGCGTAGAGGGTCTTGCCCTTCCGTGCCAGGTCAGACCAACATTATTTGGGGTCGGGAAGGAAGGTTAGCCTCTGGTCAGACTGGTACGGACTGAGGGGGTGCGGGGAGGGGTGGTGTTTGCTTTCTTCTGCAGCAAGGGGTGTGACCTCTTCCTGGGACCTCTCAGGGGTATTTCAACACCCCCTGCAAGAGCAGGGTATTGACTACCATGGCTTCAGGTGGGGGTGCTATGCTTGGTGGTTGTGACAGGGCCGCCCGTGTCATTTCAGTAGCAGGCGAGACAAGGATTTGTACAGGACGGGTTAGATAGGGCTGAGCTGGTCTCAAGCACGGGGTTGGACTAGATCAGCATTTCTCAGTCTGTGGGTCGCAAGAATATATGAAAGGGTCGCGAACAAGCTTTAAGAATGGATTCCCCTTTGAAGGAGAAAGACATGGGAAACCACGGCTTTCCCCTTGCAGGCTGGCAGAGGCCCAGCTTGCAAGGGGCTACTTGGGGCCCCCCATGCCCCGCAGAGACCCCACAGGAGCAAGAGACATTAAACAAATGGGTCCTGGTACAAAAAAGGCTGAGAACCACTGGACTAGATGATGACCTCCTGAAGTCCTTTCCAGCCCGACTTCCTCATGACTGTGAAGATGGGGTTTGCTGGCACTGCACTCCACACCCTTGGGATTACGGCTAGGATGCCACTAACCACCCAAATTCAGGTCACAGCCCACCCACCACCTGCCTCAACTTTGTCTGCACCAGCAGCAGCTTCTCTTCTGAAGGGAGGTCCAAGCTGCCCAGCTAAACCGCATTACTCCATGTGAGACACCCAGGGGCCTGTATTCAAGGCCTCCACATCAGAACCCCTATGCTCAGCACACCTGGCGCTGGCACAGCAGCGCTGGGAGCTGGGTCAGGGTGGACGCGTGCTGGCCAAGCTGCTGCTCTTTGGCCAGCTTGAGCCTGCGTCAGCCACGTCCCCAACCTGTATTTGTCCAAGGAAAAGTTGACAGCCAGCCCCTGACAGGCAATGTGAAGCTAAAGCAGAAGGGCACCCCACTCCGCTGCCCACCACGGTTGGGAAGCCACCCAGGCCTCGCACTGGGGTAAAGGGGGTACGACAGTGCATGCCATGAAAGCAACACCTCCCACCTATCCCAGTCTGCAGCTCAGGGAGCCTTACCCGAAATTTATTCAGCGCTTTCGCCAGGGCCTCAATGGTCTCCATGTCTAGGTGGTTTGTCGGCTCATCCAGGATATAGAAGTTGGGACTGGAAGAGGTGAAAGTTGCAGGGGGGGAGGAAAAAAAAATATCAGTATCTCCATATTCCACTGGGGGATGCCCAGCAGTGCAGCCACCCCGCACAGAGCTGTCCAGAATGATCCACCCCAGCCAGCAGTGCCACAGCATGGCCTAATGCTGGGAGGAGGATCCTGGGGGGTCTTGCTGCTATGACAGTGGGACAGAACCTGGAGGCTTACCAGAGCATGGTCATCTGGGCAAACGCTACGCGGCTCTTCTGACCTCCTGACAAGCTAGCAACGGGGCGGACGGCCAGCTCCCCTGAGACGCCGTAGCTTCCCAGCTGGTGACGATATTCCTCCTCCGTCTTCCCTGGAAGAGCACAGAGGCAGCGTGTCACAACACAGCCTCAGCCTGTTGGCATTAGCACCCAGGACACTGGCACAGAGCTGCTGGCCCACTCTAAGTTGCCGAGCACAAAGAGCTCAGTGCAGCAAGCTGGACCAAGGTCTTGTGCCAGGATCCTCGCGTACCACGGCTCTCGAGTGAGGCAGGGCTTCAAGGAACCACATGAACGGAGGCTCCACTAGGAACCTGAGTGACACAATGAGGACAGGGGCTCCAGGGGACTTGACTGTGATTGAATTCAAGTGACACTGTCCCTAAATGCAGTGCCAGGGATTTATATAATGTGAGATTACAGAGCAGGAGGAAGCTGGTGACTTTGGCAGCTGGGAATGACGAGAAGGAAAAGATGGGGGTCGCCAAGGTTTTGCTGGTCTAGCAGCCAGCTACACTGCCTGCAGAGCTGGTGCTTAAGTCAGAACCCCAATGAGAACTTACTGCCTCACCAGGCAGGCTGGGGCTGTCATTTCAGGCTGGCTGCAGACTCTCAGTCCTGTGGTGCTCACAAGGGGATGCCACGAATCAAGGGCCCTGCAAGCCTCCACTTGCGGCATCTCCAAGACACAGCTTGGAGCTCTTGGTCCCTAGAATCAACCGCTTCTCAGGGAGCATGTTAGTAGGGAGATTTGGCAAGGATGTTTCCACAGCACTGCAGGAGGTTCTCCAGGCAGCAGCCCCTGAAGTGCCCTCCCTAAAGACAGAGTTCATCACTGCTGCTCCTGGATTAGCCAAAGGAACTGCTGAGGGCCAGGCAAGAGACTTACCAATGCAACACCTGGTCCTACCTGGCCCAGGCAGCAAGAGACCAAAGGCAGGTCTTGCTTGGCACAGCTGAGCTCCTGACTGGCCTAGAATTAACAGCTCTGGAAACTGCCAGCGCTCACCTGGGAACTTCTTTGCCAGTAGCTCTACAGCACTGATGTTCAAGTCCAGCTGGTCTACATGGTGCTGACTGAAGTAGCCAATCTTCAGGTTCCTTCCAAGCCAGAGAAAAGCAACCATTAGAGATCACAATGCCGAAAGCTCCTGCAGCCTCTGCCAAGGCCAGAGGGAGGGTGCAGCAGAAAAGAGAGAGACAGAGTGTGTGCAGGGGGGATACCGGTGGTGGTGGTGGGGGCAACAACTTCCCCAGGGCTCAGACTGCTCTGGACACAGCTCGGACCTTGGGGCCACTGGTAACGGGGAGCAGGTTAGAGGTGGGTTTCCCAGACCACCCTGGTTCTATGAGTTGACCCCAGGGCACAAGAGAGGAGACTCTGTAGGAACCCATTCAACAGTGGAAACCCATACCCCCCTCCAACAAATCAGCAATATCCTTCAGCCCATCTACATCCACCTACAGCCCCTCCCCTACAAGACATACCTGTGCGCATGTCTGATCCCTCTGACTGGAGCCAGGTCTCCCATCAGGATCTTTAGCATGGTTGACTTCCCAGCTCCATTCTCCCCAACCTTGAGAGAGAAGCCACAGTTGAGAACTCCCCTAGGGACAGATCTGGGGTCCCAGAGCCTAGAGGATTCATCTTCTCCCCAAGACTGGGTTGCATTTTGGGGGATGGAAGATCCAGTCACTTGTCCCCCATTACTAGGGCAGCAGTGGAGGTGGCCAGGAGTCAACAGAAGGGGGACTCCCCTCGGCTCCAATATCCTCGCATGGCATTCATAAGCTAGAGCCTAACTCTAGCGCCTGGCAGGACCCTTGTGGAGCATCTTCCCACTGCCCCATTCCAGCCAGGTGCCCGGTACGTACCACACAGATCCGGGATTCCAGGTCAGCCGAGACAGAGAGGCCACGGAAGATGTAGTTATTTGAGTCGTAGTAGAAATCCACTTCGTCCAACTGCAGGATTGGGGGAGAGAACTTCTCAAAGCCATCGGGGAACCTGTGGATGGGTGGAGAGGGTCGCCCAGAAGACGAGAGCTCAGCCGTGTCCCAAACAAAGGGATCCACACATTGCAAGGAGCAGCAGAGGAAGAAGGGAGACTGCAGCTGCTAACCTCCTCCCCATAGGACACCCAGTGGGGTAACTGCAGGGCTGCCCTCACTGCAGGACCTGACCCACCTCCCAGCCACCCACACCCGAGCCCTCAGAGTCAGACTAGTGTGAACATGCCAAGGAAATAGCACCATTAGGTGCTCTGGCTGCCTGCCCCAGCCCAACACTGCAGAGAGGGACCAACCCCAGAGCCTGGCAGCAGCTACTGCAGCCTTAGCAGCGACTTTGAGCCATGTTTAAGGAGCACGTTCCAAGTGGCAGGACCAGTGGAGGGAAGGGACAGTGGGTCTCAGGCTGCCCACTCTCCATAGGCACCACAGGAGCCTGGCCTGTCTGCCCCTAGCAAGGTGGCTCAGGGACACTTACTTCATGATCACCTCCGACTCCTTGTCCACTGCTTTCAGCTCTGGCCTGGGAGAAGGAAGAGTAATCATTGCTCAGTGTCCTGAACCAGGACATGGCATGCCACACCCCACCACTCACAGCAACCTGTCTGGAGGTGTCACGGGGACAGAGGCCCCTTGGAGACTCCCCAGGCCAGCTAGAGTACAGCCAGGCCCACACAGCTGTCCCAGATGAAAGCACAGCGATGCCAGGGATCAAGCTGCGTGGTTGATGAAAATGGAGCCATGGAATGGTGGTCATGTGGGCCAGGTGTCCTCTCCCAAACAGGAGCTCAGAGACCACGGACCTGTAGACCCCAGCACCCTCCAGAGACCACCGACCTGTAGACCCCAGCACCCTCCAGATGGACCAACTGGGAACTCCTCAAACCCCTTCTGCCCTAGCCCCGCTCCAAGACTGGGGTGGAGCCATCTTCTTCACCCACTCTCCCCTCAGCCAAACCCATGGCATGGCTCGACTTCCCAGGCCTTTCCCTGCCTCCCTCTCAGCCATGAGCAGTGCAGCCCAACACGACAGTGCTGCTTCCCCTCCTCCCCCACAAGCCATAGGGAGGGGCAGGGCCAGGCACTCACAGCTTCTCCAGCAGCTTGAGTTTGCTCTGCACTTGAGACGCCCGGTTTGCGTTGTAGCGAAATCGATCGATGAAGACCTAGGAGAGAAGATCAGAGTCCCTCAGGCCCTGTCTGGGGGTATTACTTCCCGTCCCCGCCACCCCGATGCTCCACTATTCTGCCCATCCTACAGTGGGAGCACTACTGAGGGCTAGAGTGTCCCTTGGATGTGGAGGGTGCAGGGGCAAGACTGAAGAACAGGTTCAATCCCACGGCCATCAGTAGGGAAGCAGGCCAATGATACCAGCTGTCTTCCAAGCTAAGGAGCCCCCTCCACTGCTACCCAGCCCCCAAAGCAGTGCTGCACATGAATGAGTCCCTCAGCACCTCCAGAGGGGATCCCAGGGTGACACAGAGCCATGTTTCTCCCAGAACGTGTGTACACCTCCCCCCACTCCCTGCTAGCACCAGGGTGCCTGCCCTGTACCTGGATGTGCTCGCGGTACTGCTGCTGCGCCTCGTACTCGCGCTGCTGGTTCTTCAGTCTCTCCTCCTTGATCTTCATGAAGTTCTCAAAGTCACCCCGGTAGGCGTTCAGCCGCTGTGAGTGCAGGTGGATGATGTCGGTGGCCACGGCATTGAGGAAGTTCCTGTCGTGGGACACCACGAGGATGGTGGACTGCCATGTCTGAACAAGAGAGCAAAAGGGAAGACCTGTGTCAGGACACACATTAAGCCTGTATCAGGACGTGTCAGCCTTGCCTACGTGACGGAAGACTCTAGCTAGCATTGTGGAGCACGTATCCCCACTCCTGACATCAAGCCATGGGCCACCAAGAGAAGTCTCTTTTCCAAATCTGTATCACAATACCAGGGGAGCTTCCCCCAACTGTTCTGGACAGTCCCTCAAGGTCTACTGCCCTCAGCCACCCTTACCTACCTGCAGGTAGTTCTCCAGCCACAGAATGGCTCTCACATCCAGCATGTTAGTTGGCTCTGAAGGGAATGAAGAGAGACATCAGGACAGAAATGGGCCAGACCACGGTGACTCGTCATGTTCTTACTGAGAACTGCTCTAGGTAGGAGCACTGGGAAGAGGAGCCAGCTCCACCAGCATTTCTATTAATTCAGGGTCCAGAGGTGATGGTTGGATCACAGCCCAAGTGCTTAGGGCTGCACAGAGAGTCCCTGCCCTGAAGGGCTCGTAGCCCAGTTCTGGACAAGATGCAATGATGGGTAAAACTGGCAGTGGGAAGCTGGCACCTGCAGATACCAGAGCAGGCATCACACCTTCTTCTGCAAGGCCTGGAATAGCCACCAGAGCCTTTCGACCAGCCTAGAGGCACCTCTTGGAGAACTCAAAGGAGGGAGGGGCCTCCCAGGTGCAGGGGGAACACAGGAGCCAGCCCCACAGTACAGCGGGCACTTCCCCCCTGCATCATTATACCCACCCCCACAAGGCCCCAACGCAGTGGTGGCATGCAAAAAGTATGTACCTGGGCCCAAGAAAGCAGGGTACAAGTCAGGGCAAAATCCCTCCTGCTCACAGGGAAAAGTTCATTAACTGCCCCCAGCTGCTTCTCCACTGCTGGGAGCCATTAGAAGAAGGACCGTTTGCAGGGAATAAATGCTGTGCTGGGGCCACGTCAGGGCTTTGTAGGCCCTGAGGCTCAGCGATCAGCCATACCCGAAGCTGACCATCCTGCATGTGGAAGGCACCAGTGGGGGGCAGGACAACAACCCAGTGAGGCTCCTCACCCAACCTCTAAGCTCTTGGGACAGCAGTGCATGCAGATCTCCCTCTCCTACTCTGTCACCACTGTCCTGATGTGCCTGTGCCTGGCCAGAGACACCCTGGCTGTTTAGTCTACACAGGCAGCCAAAACTCCCACTGGGTCTCCAATCCCTAAACCAAGGATAGTCAAGGCAACCCTGGGGTCCATTCAGGGATGAGAAAGGACTTAGGGCATGAACTTACCATCAAGCAGAAGAAGATCCGGCCTGAGAGAAACATAGGGAAAGAGCAGTGTTAGTACTCAGGGTGGGTCTCCAGGCCTGAGCAGTGGTGCTGCAATTCTCACTTCCACTCTCACCCCCGGCTGCAGAGCCTGCCCCACAGCCTGTGCACTCTGTGGGTGCCCTGTTGGCAGCAGCTGGGAGCTCCTCCCACAGCCAGCTCTCCTGCCCCTTAGCCTAGAGTGCCTCTTGCCGGTGCAACCAGCCTGAGCTCACCCCAAGGCAGCCCATTAGGCCACTTCTGCAGTCACCCACCTCTTCACACTTCCTTGGACAGAGAACCAAGTGCAATAACATCAACCCGGACAGCACTGTTTGGAGACCTACCTGGCAAACAGGGCTCTGGCCAAAGCCAACCTCATTCTCCAGCCTCCTGAAAACTCTCTGGGTAGAGACAAAACCAAATCCAAGAGGTGTTAGCCCTGCACTGCTGTGTTGGCCCACAATCACTCCTCACCCACTGAGCCCCCTGTTCTTAGACCCTCCACAGCTGAGAGATGCCAATGGTGCTCCCTGGGGGCAGGTACCCTTGTAGCTCTGCTGTCCCCCAGAGGCAGCTTAACACTACGGTTGACCCTGGCCGCAAGAGAGGACAGGGGGCAGTCCAAGTTTGCCAGGCTTGTGAGCAGCCACAGCTCCAGAGCAACAGCACATGCTATTGGGCTGGCTCCAAGCAGGGCCCCATAGCCCGATGCCCCAGGACAGCAGCCTACATCAGGAGCAGAGGAACCAAGAGGCACCTCTTCCTCAGCTGAAGTTACAAGCAGTCCCTGCCCATGCCAGTGCCCTGGCTATGCCTGGTGCTTGTCGGTAGGCAGTAGACAGCTTAGGGTTCTCTGTGCATGGGGCCTACACTGCACAGGAATTTAGAGAGGCACCTCCAACACGAGACGTGGGTCAGGACACTTACTTGGTCGTCTGCTGCTGCATCTTTGCACTGAAGCCCAGCCCAGCAAGAATGACAGATGCCCTACGTAGGAGAAAGAGACACACCTGAAATCCCCCCAGGACTAGCACCAAGATCCCAAGGACCACAGTGGAAACTGCTGTGCACCCTACAGCATTTTCTAAACATCCCCTGCCCAAGGGCAGCACCAGCTCCCCAGCAAGGCACCCATTCATCCATAGCCCTGACAGCTACACATGTGAGCACTGAAAGCAGGCACCGGCCCACAGAGAGGTACAGCCCTGGCTTTCAGGCCAGTCTTCATCATCTACTGGCCTGGAAACATTCCCTCAGCTACTTACAAGACAGCCAGAGGATGGGAAGCTCCCAGGCTCAGTGGAGCAGCATGAGCTCAAGTCAGCAGAGTGTCAGGAATTCTGGCTGCCCAAGTTCTCAGGAGCTCCCAGCTACTCCAGACTCTATCTGCCCCAGCAGGCAGTAATCCAGGGAGGGAAGCAGCCCCGATGTGGATTGCACAGGGACAGAGGGACACCCCCTCTCTACACCCTAACACTTCCTCCAGCCCAATCACTCATCACTTCCTAAGCTCTCTGTGGCAAACTGGCAGCCCCTGTGCCCGGAGCAGAGGGGAGATGGGCCTTACCTTGCTGGCGCCTTGTCTGCTTCGATCTCCTCCAGCTTGGCATAGATTTCTGAAAGTCTGGCACCTTCTGTTCCCTCTGCCCTGGAACAAGACACAAGTGTGGCATGAGGGCTCCCTGCAGAGACAGGGTGTAGTCGGCCTCCTCAGGCCAGGAGTGAGGACACCTGGGTGCCCCTCTCAGTGGAACTGGGGGGCAAAGTCCATCTGGACCAGAGTTTTAGTGGGGGACGCTCCCAGAGACTGGCAATGGCAAGGCAGTGGGACAGACAATAGGACCAAGTTCCTTGTGGACACAAAACCCAGCTTCCATGTGACCAGCCTCCTGTGGCAGGACAAGCACCAGCTTCCATGAGACAGGCAGGTTAACAACTTCTCACCTGCCAGCATTGACCCTGGCCGTCAGCTCCTTCTCCTCGCACAGCAGGCCCTCCCGCATTATGTCGCACTCCAGCACACTCTGCAGCGCCGGCGTGTCATCCCCTGCCACCTCCTGCTCCACGTGCAGGATGCGGATGTGCGAGGGGATGCGCAGGCTCCGGCTGGCAATCATCTTCAGCAGGGTAGTCTTGCCAAGCCCATTCCTGCCCACCAGTCCATAGCGCCGGCCAAATGCCAGGTTCAGGTCTGAGCCTGCTAGCAGCACCCTATGCAAAGGGAACAGCCAGGCATCTGCTCAGCAGCAGCCTCCAGACTTCAGGGGCAGACGGGAGTTAGCTCACTGCTCAGGACAGTGCTACGAAGGCAACACACCCCTGGCCTGCCCCTCAAGCCTGTCCCATTGCCTCCCTCAAACCAGGGTATTTCCAGGCTCCCACTAGGGCATCTCTACCCATCCTCGTCCCACGTCCCCCAGCCTCCCAAGGACTCACCGCTCACCGAAGGACACATCGAAGTTCTCAATGCGCACATCATATGACTTGTTCTTGCCCGACGACTCCATGCGTGTTTCCTTCTTGCTGGCAGCTTGGCTGGCAGATGCCTCCTCCAGGACCCTGGCACCAGAGGAGGGAGGACAAGTTTCAATGTAGGGAAAGCCTTTGGGCAAGTCAACCTCCCATCCCCCACAGCACACGGACCCGAGTGGCTAAAAGCCTGGCCTGCCCTGGGGTACACTCTGCACACTCACAGTGGGTTACTGGACTTCAGGGTATCCTTCTCCATCCTCTTGTCCTGCTTAGCCTTCAGCCTGGCTTCGGCTTTCTGCAGCTTCTTGACATTCACCATCTGGGGCACAAAGAAGGGATTCAGAAAAGACCAAGAATCCTGCAGGCATCCTCAGGCACAGGTCCAGGAGGGAGCAGCCCAGGTACTGAACACAAATCCTAGAGGCCTGGGAACTCCCAGAAAGGAGCGATACTTGGTGGGGCACAAGGACACAAGGGGCGAGACAGAATTAAAGGTCACTGCAGGGAAATGTCTCTAGGTGGGGATTCGCTCAGGAATGGAGTGGTCCATGGGCAAGGCTAGCCAGCGGGTGCCATGCAGATGATCTGGCAACCGTTTGTTCTGTCCCACATATAAAACACCACAATCTCTCAGGAACTCCAAGTGTCCCAGTCACTTCTCCCCCACGCTCCGCAGCCCACACATCCCACCTCTCCCTCCATCAGCTGCTCCACTTCCCCGGTGACCAGAATTTCATGCAACCTGACCCAAACTCCCACTATGTGGTCAACAAACCACGATGGGGCTCAGAAACACCACACAGACTCAAATAACCAGAAAGGACGAGGCTGACCTGCCTGACCAGCTATAAGATTCCCCCAAACCAATTTCTTCCTCAAGCAAAATCATAGTTAAACTGCCGCCAATTTTCCAAACAACATAAACCTAGTATCTGGTCAGACCAACTGCACCCAGCCTGCCAGGCAATATAGATCCTTCTTCAGACAGCCTGTCCCCTCCACCCAAGGCTTCTACAAGGAAAATCTTATGGTTTTAACCTTCTTACCACTGACCTGGGGTAAGTAGTGAAAGACTAAGAACTGCTCACTGCAAAAAAACCTGCTTCATTTCAAGTCCCCATTTGCATGTGCACGAGACATATTTGTTGGGCAGCTTGTAATCAGTCTGTGCCATGCTGACGAGTCTGTAACAGCCTGGCTGCTTAATCACAAAGCCCTACAGGAAGAAGCCAAATGCCCTGCAGAAGTCCAAGCATGCCACGTTGCCACTATTACTTACAACCAGGCTGGCAACCCCCTCATCAACTGACATCATGTTAAATTCAACAGAATCTATAAGTTCATATTGTTGGACATCACTCCCTGCCTCCCATTTAATTCCTTAACCATCAAATCCTGTATCATCTACCCCTTTGTTTTGCTTGGGATGTCAGGCTGACAGGCCAATCATTGCCTGGGTGATTTCTATTTACCAGATTCAGTCCAAGCAGTCCCTGAAGTCAACTGAAAACTTGACACAGAGGAAGCAGCGTAAACATGTAGTTATGGACCTAACAGAAGACCCCCAACCTGACTAGAGATCTCTAGTGGGACGGACTGGGGGAAAGCAGGGGCTCTCACAAGGTGTGGATCAGAGGGGGCAGTTTGCCTCTCTGAGTGTTTATTGCAGCCTGGGGAGCAGTAATGGGAGGAAGGTGCAGGATCATGTGTGACACCTTCTATCATTTTTTCCAGTTAAAAATAAACCAGAGTAAGACCTCCTTACCGAGGTCTGGTCTCTCTTCAGCAGCAACTGTGGTAACAGGTCCACGCCCGCGTCTGCAATCAAGCAGGAAGTCCGTCAGTGTGAGTTCTGGACACTCGCGCTCGGCCCAGCTCCCCGGCTCCGTGCCGCCCAGACAGCAGTGAATACACAGGACTCGCTGGCAGGCCAAGCAATAGCCTGGCATGGCAGGTGCAAACACCGAGAAAGACAGAGGCCAAATGGCTCGTCCGAGGTGACATCAGAACCTAAATCCTTACCCTGGTTCTTGCCATCAGGTCTGGCAGCCTCACAGGCCTTTAGTAGCCAACACCCGCCTCTCGGTGCTCCCCGTCAGCGGCACCACCCCTCCCACCACCCCCAGTACGACTCCTGCAGGAAGGGGCAGGTCGCGTGGGAGACAAGCCAGCGAGCAGCCCAGCACCACAGCGAAGCCTCCTCACCACAGCCGTCCGTGATCTGGGAGAGCTGAATGGGGGCGTCCAGCAGCACCTGGTTGCAGCCCCGGGGTTTCTCGTCGTCCCTGCAATGCACACGGCAGTCAACGGGGAAGCTGCCTGGGCACCGGCCCTGCTTCCCCAGCCCCGGCCACGATGCCGCCACAGCCTGGGTGCGAAGGCAGCGCCCGCCCGGGCTCTGCCACCCCCCGCGCTGCAGGTACGCACATGTGCAGGGCGTCGTACATCCTGCGGCAGACATCCCGGATGTCCTCATCGTCTTTGGAGTCACGGGACACGTCCTGCAGGAGCTCCCCGACCGCGTCGAACAGCTCGTCCTCCGACTCGAAATCCGCCCCGCCGCTGTGCAGCACCCCTGTGGGGGGAGGGGTGCGGGGCTCAGCACTGG